CGTTGAAGATTTGGTCCATACCAGTATCCTGAGGTTCTTCTTCCTGTAATGCCTATGATTCGTAAGTTTGGTCTTTTTATGGTGTCACACAATTCCTGCATATTCCATTCTTGTGTTTTCTTAAATTTTTCACAATCTTTGCTTGAGTGGTCTAGTTCATCCACTTTATCTTCCAAGCATGATATTCTGTTTTCCATTCCATTCATCCTATTGGTGAGGCTTTCTCCTGTGGTTTCTAATTGGCTTACTGAGTTTTTAACTTCCTTCTTCATTTCAGCCTGAGTAGTCTTCAATATTTATAACTTTTTTCTGAATTTATTCAGAAGTTTATCCCTATATTCCTTCAGTTCTTTGGTTGCTTTCTTCGTGTGTTTTTAAATTCACTGAATTCTTTTATCATGTTTATAATTGTTCTTTTGAGTTCCATGTTCTATGTTATCCCTAGGGGGTTCTCACTGTACTTCTGTAGAGGACTGTTGGTACTTTATGGGGACATATTATTTTGGTTTTTCATGTTATTATTTTTTCTGTGTAACTTTGACATATAGATTTCTTTTATAGTTTCTGATTCTTGTGTGAGACTCGAGTCTTCCTTTGTTGAGTTTAGGTCTGCTTCTTTTTGTAAACTTTATGTATGCCTTTGTGGTTTACTTATTGGGTATGAAAAGTTGGTTGCTCTAGGCTTCAGGTTCTATCTTTTGATTTTATATTGGAGTGGCCTAATTGCTTTCATCTTGCTTCTCAGGACTTCCCACATTGGCCCAAGTCGGACAAGGATCAGATGCTCTCAGGCTTTCTCCTAAGGTTTGGATCCCTCCAGGAAAGATGCTGGCCTCGGGAATTTAGGGGCTGGGCTGGCCTGGGATCAGGGTCCAGGAAAGATGCTGGCCCCAGGAAGCTGGTGACTCTGCTGCCCAGGGATGCAAAGGGAGGTGAGGGTGGGAAGAGGCCCCAAGGGCTGCTGGGGAACACGAAAGATGCTCGCCCAGCCCAACCTTTTTGAGGCTTTTCAAAGTCTAAAATTACTTTTTCTTAAAAGTATACACCTCCTGTTTTCATCTATATTTCATGCAAAGGTTAGAGTATTGACAGAGACAATGTCTGATGAGACACACAAAAAGAGGTTTTGAAGGATAAATTTAGGAGGAAGAATCAGTAACATACAAACCAGCAAGAAATTTCAGCTAAGGTGATATAGCTTGTGAATGAAGATCAAGAATTATCAGATTCAGGTACTTAGCAAGATGTGATGAGACTGAACTGAAAAGGTTAAATGTTTGGAAGAATAAACTAAAGGTGAACAGTTATCTAATATAGCTATAATGAGCATAATCTGATGGCTAATCCCCAGCTCAAAAAATATGTGTCCCTGATCTTGAGAAAAAAAAGTACAGTTCCTAAAATCTTTCCAACTATGGGTCAAAAGATAGGGCAGGATATTCATACAAGACATTTTTGTTGTTCAGACACGTTCTCCCTGCAGCTCCTTAAGGCACAGAACTTGCTATAAAAATCAAGCTAGCCTCAATCTCATTGAGATCCACCTGACTCTGCCTCCAGAGTACTGAGATGAAAGGTATATTTTTCCAGGCCTGGCTACAAGAAATTCCTGAACTTGTTTATTAACCATGTATGTTATTTAGACTCTTTTGAAATGGGGAGAATGAGCGACCCTACAGGGCTCCTAGTCCCATAAAAGAATTTAAGAATGGAGTGAAATGGAAGCTTTAGGACAAGTAATTACTTTAAACTAGAGCTTTAAAAAAATAATAATACTAACATCCTTACTTAAGGTAAATCAAATTGATGGAATTTACTTTGCAGCTGCTTGTGTGTTTATTTGAAAGAAATTAATGGGAGAGACAGGACAGGATTCACTAATTTCAGAGAAATCACTTTTCTGACATCAGCACCTACTAACTAGCATATATCATCCACCTTGTATGATTCTGGTCTCTAATTTTTAGTGCTCCAGGTATTGGGGAAACTGGAGCATAGAAAAATCCAAATTGTTGTCCATGGTGATGGTTTTCAGACACAGGTAACACAACCAACTTGACTCCAATCAGAGAATTTTCTCAAACAACCACAGTTGGTACAGTAATCACCAAGGACAAATTCCACTGCAAGAATATGAACACTACAGAAGTGTCGGTCAGTTGCCACCAAAGCATTGCCTCTTAGCAACAGTTTCCTACTAGGCAGATGCTCCCCCTTCTCCTCTTCTTACTACAGGGCTGTAAGAATCAAGTAAGAGGGCACAAAGTCATCTCAAAAGCCCAAACTGTTGGCTGAGGCTGTTTTAGGGCACTATAGCGATGCTGAATAACAAGGCCTTTGCCATCCCTTGCTGGCCATTAACCTCAGGAAGCCTCTAGGCTTAGAGGAACTATCAGTTAAGTAACAGTGAACAAGACTTTGAGACTTGTTACATAGAAAGGGAGAAATGAAAATGTGGTAGCTTTGCTTAACTATACTTTTCAGGTTCCCCAGTAAAAGGAGGCAAGGACTTGGGGCAGGAGTTTTGTCTAAAAATAAACAATATATGATTAGCTAAATTTATCAAGAACCTCTGTATGTGATGAAATCAATAAAAAAATAAATTTCCAGGTTGGAAAAGGTAGCATACACCTTTAATCCCAGCTGGGCTGTATATAGTGAGTTCCAGGCCAGCTGGGGCAACAGGGAGACCCTGTCTCAAAAAGCAGAGAGAGACAGAGAGAGAGAGAGAGAGAGAGAGAGTGAGAGAGAGAGAGAGAGAGATAGAGAGAGAGAGAGAGAGAGAGGAGAGGAGAAACAAAAAACAAAACCGTTGCTAATACTTAAAAGTTCCTAATCACAATAGATAAACTAGGAAGTTTTCAAATAATTTTAAATAATTAGAAAATAAATTTTAAAATAATATGTTACCAAGCACAGTCCATAATCAGTTTCTCATGTGCAGTCTTCTGTTTCTTTTTTAAGACAAAATAGTAAGGGAAGATTACTGTTTCTCAATATGTGACCACCACATGTATGCACTGGAATACTGTTTTTAAAAGCTAAAGGTCCAATCAACTTTATATCACACTGAATAACCACATAATTCATTTTTTATTTTCTTGAGACAATGCCTCACTATGTAGTCTTGCTGGCCTGGAACACCCTATATAGATCAGGCTGGCCTCAAACTCACAGAAATCTGCTTGTCTCTACCTCTGCCTCCCAAATGTGGAATGAAAAGAGTGGATCACCACCACATCTAGCAACAGTGTAACCCAGACTGGCTTCAAACTCATGATATTCCTGCCTCTGCCTCATCAGTGTATCCTACCTGTGTGCGCCACCACAACAAGCTTGATCTATTTTTTAAAAACATTAATTCATAGTTCTCAAACATCAATGACATGAGTGGAGTACTTTATAAAAAGAAAAAAATTATAGTAGTGAAAACTACCAAGCAAATCTTCATCTAATAATATTCTCACTTAGCTTATAACAAAGGGACATTAATTAAAGCAGTGACAGGGTCCCACGACAAATCGCTTTATAGAAAAAAAAAATTTAACTTTTGAAAAGAATTTTAACTCTTTAATTCAATGAGAACAAGTTTTTAAGCTCATTTTCCAGTTCAACTTTACTTCAATCTAATGCTTTTTGGTATGTTTAAAATACCACATAAACTCAAGTCAGGTGAGGTAAAAAGCATCTGCTGGGTGTGGTGGAGCAAACCTTTGAACCCAGCACTTGGGAGGCAGAGGAGATGGATCTCTGTGAGTTCAAGGCCAGTCTGGTCTACATAGTAAGTTCCACCATATAACCTCAAGCATTTTTTACAGGACAGGAGCACTTAGCACTTAGCATTTCAACTAGAAAGTATCTAGATCTGAGTAACTGCACCTCTAGATCAGAGTAAACTGCACCATGTTTCCAGTTTTTCAGACAATGTAGATCTACTGTCACCACAAAGAAATCACCTGGTAAAACCAAAGGAGCAGTGAGTGGCAATAGTTTGAGATAGCAAGAGCCAGGAATGGAAAGATCCACAGCTTCTTCTTCTTCTTCCTCTAAGTCATCAGGAACAGGGATTTCTGGTCTTATCTGAAATCAGTAATAAGATTATAAAAAGGATGATGTTAAGACATGTAAAGTATTTTCTTTGTTGATTCTGTATTCAGATGTAAAAATTGTTTTAGACTCCAAAACTTTTTAATGTTAAAAAAATCCATTAAAATAATTTTTGAAAATCGATTTGTGTCCTGGGTTAATTAAATGGCAACTCTAGTCATATTATGTAATGTGATCTCAATTTCATTTCAAGAACTGATAGTAAAACAAGAAAATCACTATAAGAAGCTGAGTAATGACTACCATCAAAACTCATAAAATTCTATACTATCCACCAATAAAATATAAACACTGACATACTCAACATATTGAATCTCTATGGCATATAATTGAATATTTGCTCCATCTGAATATGTTCTTTTTAAAAAATGTGTGGTTCCAACTATATCTCTATCACAAAGCTTAAAATCTAGTAGAAATATGTAAAGATAGGGACACAACAAAATGCTTTACCTTACATTTTTTTAGACTTGGTGGTTGTTGCTATGGAATATGAAAACACTAAAATCAGTAATTGGAAGCTTCACTTTGTTATATCTAATTTGTATTTTGAAAAAAAATTGGGGAGGTGTTGTTCTGTGATTAGTTAGGCTTGTGTCAAACCAAAACTAAATAATGCAGTATTATCATTATCATACTTTCTGTAAAATATAACTATAAAGCAATTAAATAAAATTTTAATACTTAAAAATTTCATACACCCTATCATAATACCCACATGGAGATAATTAAGCATTAAAGGAGGAAATCAAAATATCTAAAAGTAGTTTTTATAACTGTAAAATGCCAGAACCTAGTAATTAGCATTAGCTTGTCTTCCAGAGTTATTTTTAGAAATAATTAACAATTCCTACAGACTGCCTTCTTCATAGGTTCCCAAAGTACCATTTCATTTAGGAAGTTCACTGAGTCAGGATTCTTGCAGAGGCATAAAAGAAAACAGAAACTGCTTATCTTATGTATAATAATCTCAACTCCATGAACCATTCAACCAGAACTAGAGTTATCTTCACTAGCAAAGCAACAGTGATAGTAATTGACCATCTGAGAACTTCCCAAGATAAGATTTAATTTAGATTCAGTACTGAGAACTTAATGCTCAAAGGGATAAACCAGACACATTTACAGGAATAATAATCAGGTATGCTCCAGATAGGGCAGGACAATATTCATTTATAATGCTGCGTATCACAGACATCCAAGCACACAGCAAACCTTTCAGTACTGAAAAGCAGTTTCCTGAGTATCTCTGGTTTGCACAGACAGTTGAAATTTTCTAAGTTTAATATGAATGAGAATTGTCCTAGGGATTTCAGCCAGTACTAGGAGCCTTCAAATTTTTGAAAAATAAACAAACAAAAGAGCTAGTTCACTGTCCCTTTGGCCTGCTTCCTGACTTTTTAGATATAAAATTTTTTTTACGTATATGAGTGTTTTGCCTGCATGTAATGCATGTGTACCATGTGCATGCAATGCTGCAGAGGCCAGAAGAGGGTGTTGGAGCCCCTGAAACTGGAGTTAGAGAGGTTATTAGCCACACCTTGACTTTATATAGAATCAAATATCTTTGGAAATCAGTAAAATAGTTACCATTTTTAGCCCAGCAATTCTAAAACTAGATATATAAAAGAGATAAAAATCTATGATCACACACAAAACTTGTACACAAATGTTCAAAGACATGTTGTTCATAATAATCCCCAAATAGAAGGGCACCCAAATAGTCATCAGCTTACAATGAATTTTTTGAATGGGAGTATTTCCATACAATGGAATATAATTCATCCATTAAAGAAAAAAATGTAAATTTGAAAAAGAAAAGAGTTAATAAAGGGGCCAGCAACATGGCTCATTGAGGTAAAGTACTTGCTGCCAAGCCTAATGACAAAACTTGGACCCACATAGTGGAAGGAGAGCCAGCTTGTCTGATGATCTTCACACATGCCATGGTGCACTTGTCACCCACATAAATAAATAAATATTTGAAAAAAAGATATAATAAAGATCATATGAGAAATTAATAAAAAATGGAAATACAAAAAAATCAATGAAACAATTAATTGTTCTTTGATAGGATAACCAACATTGATGAATGCTTAGCCAAACAAACCAAAAGAGATAAAGAAAAGAAACAAATGAATAAAATTAGAGGTGAAGTAAGATACCACTGAAATCCAAACAATCATCAGAGAATACTTTGAGAATTTATATTCCAATAAATTAAAAATATACAAGAAATATCTATTATATACAAAAATTAAATCAAGATGATAAAAAGCCCAAACAGATTAACAATGTACAATGAAAATGAAGCATCAATAAAGTCTCCCAACAAAGAAAAATAGAGCACTGAGTAGATAAAGTGGAGGCTCAACACAGAGGAATCATTTCCTCCATGCTTCCAAGTGAAGCCAGCCATGGTCAAGCAGGATCTTTGACTTATCTTCATATAGGCAGAACTGGTAAAAAGAAAGGAGCCAGGGACTCCTCCCAAGCCCATGTGACCCCTGAGGAACAGATCCTCAAACAGCCTTAAGAGTAAAAATAAATTAGTTTATCTCAGCCAACTGTATGGCCTTAAACACCCAAAAGGAAAGTATAACCAAAGATTAAAGGGGACAATATAATTTTTAAGAGTCCATATGTATAGTTAAAGGCTACATAACAAGCAACAATGCCAGATAAGCGATACCTTCTTTTGAGCTGTTGGCCGGGGTGGCCAAAGGGATTCCTAGATAGTAACTCAGCATAGAACTGGGAAAATGAACAGCAGACCCCAATTTTATCCAAAGGAATATAGACAACTGATTACCGCTAGATGAGGAACAACTGACCCTCCTAAAACAAAGACCTCTAGATAGGCTGATTAGATTCACCAGAAGTGCAAGTAGTGTGGAATGGCTGGGGATGCCGACAACACAGCAGACAGTAGCAGGGATATCAGAGTATAAGGGCTCTAGTTGGGGGAGGGAGGCTATGGGAGGGTGCCATCTGGAAAGTGGTTGTATAGTTGATTCACCAGAAGGGCAAGTAGTGGGGAATGGGTGGGGGTGATGACAAAGCAGAGAGTAGCAGGGATATCAGAATATATATGGTTCTAGTGGCAGGGGAGGCTATGGGAGAAGAGGGTGTATAGAGCAATAAGATGGTTTGGGATGTTCTATATGACATACACACAAAAAAGTCAACAAATTTTTAAAAAATGAAATATATTTGAGGAGGAAGCATAAAAACTTACATCATGTTCATTAGTAGAGGTGATAAACATTACCACTGAAATCTACCCAATGACTTTATAGACATACACAGGTGCCAAGGATCCGAGTACAACTGATTATGACTAGTAATAATCAGATACATACAGATTAGAGATGCATGAGCCAACATCTCAGTGTTATTAGCAAAAACAATGTGTCTTTCTGTAAGAAACAGTATATTTAAAAAATGAAATGGGGATCTTTTCTAAAGGTTAAAAACTCATTGCCCAGTTCTAACAAATCTTTAGACCAACACCAATTCTCCTTAACTCCATGAAACAAAAGACTACTTACAAACTCATTTTATGAAGACAGCATTACACTGATCCCACAACCAGGTAAGTAAACAATAACAACAAAAATAACTGTAATCAAATTTCCTTGGTAAAACTCCTCAATAAGATACTTGCAGTCAGCCAGGCATGGTAGTACACAACTTTATTCACAGCAGAGGCAGGCAGATCTCTATGAGATTAAGGTCAGACTGGTCTACACAGTGAGTTCTAGGCCAGCAGGAGCTATAGGGAAATCCTGTACCATAAAAACAAAATAAATCTGCCATCAAATTCAAAAACACACTGAAAAGATCAAACACCATGATCAAGTTGAGCTTATTCTAGTAATGAAAGCATGATTCAACATACTTAATTCACATAAAAGAACCAACACATAAACATACAGCACACAGGGGCTGGAGAGATGGCTCAGCGGTTAAGGGCACTGACTGCTCTTGCAGAGGACCTGAAGACCCGGGGTAGAATACCAGCACCCACATGGCAGCTTATAACCATCCTTAATTCCAATGCCAGGGGATGCAATGCCATCTTCCGTCTTCTGTGGGCACTGCACAACACAGGTGCACTCACATACATTCAGGCAATACACACATATACATGAAATAAAAATAATAAATGAAAAAAAATTTTGGATGTTTTTGAGACAGGGTCTCCCCGTGGCCCAGCTGGCTTGGAACTTGCTTTGCAGACCACACTGGCCTTGAACTCACACAGATTAGCCTGCCTCTGCCTCCCAAATCCAGGGAGTAAATGTATGCCTCACCACGCCCAGCATAAATAAAATATTTTAAAAAGAAAACAAGACTTGAGGTATCACAATACCCAATTTCAAATTATACTATAGAATCACAGTAACAAAAAGATGATGGTATTAACATAAAAACAGACATAAAGATCAAAGGAATAAAACAGATGACTCAGAAATAAACATACTCAGTTACAACCATGTACTTTTCAAAGCAACTGTCAAAAAATATAGAGACAAAAAGTCTCCTTAAGTAATGTTAATGAAATTGCATATCCTAGTAGAAGACTGAAACGAGATCTGTATCTCTCACCTTCTATAAAAGTCAACTAAAAAGTAATTAAAGCTCTTAATGTAAGGACTGAGAAATTGAAACTGTAAGACAAAAATCTAGGGGAAACACTTCAAGGTATAAACATATAGGCAATGATTTTTTTCTCTGAGGGCACAGAAGTTCTTTTTTATTAAAACAGGATCTCATGCAGCCCAGGCTGACCACAAACTTCCTAGGTAGCTGAGCCTTGGCTAGAGATCCTGGTCTTACAGGTATGCACTATCACACCTGGCCAGCAAAGACTTTTAAGTAGGAACCCAACAGTACTGGAAATAAGAGCAAATATTGACAAAGGGGATTGCAAAAAAATAAATTGCTTCTGGACAGCAAAGAGAATAACA